GGGCTCTGCGAGGGTTGGGCTTCAAAACCGAAAAGATAAAATTTTCCGGGTCTTCGGGCACTTCGGGGCGTGTTTCAGGTGTTGGAAATGATCTCGGGGCTTCGGGGGAAATCAAAATAGTGAAAATATGAGTTTAGGGGTAATGTCAAGGAAGCCACGAGTAAATGGTTTTCTTACCATTTACTCTAACCCATTTGGCAATTGTGATGGAATAAGCTTGCACTGCTGGGAGGTTTAATGAAGATGAGGTTCTTTTCTTTCTTTTTCCTTTTTTTTAATTTTATATGAAGTCATTTATTGTTTTTCTTTCTTGCAAACATTTAATTATGTTGATTATGAGAAGAGTCGAATCTTCTTTCAACAACTCATATTTGATGTCAGCTACTGTCACTCTATGGTAATTGAAAATTAAAATTTTTTAGTAAATAGTAACAAACTTTTATATTTGTTCAAATACATATCATAAACTTACTGAACATTCAATTTTGTTTCATTGTTATGAAATTTTTTATTTTTGTTTGTTGAATGTGGCAAGTTTATGGAAAAAAATTGTTAAAATAGTAACCACGTTTCAATTTTGTTATGATATTATGAAAATGATGAAAACATTAAAGTGATTATGTGGCATGTTTATTGAAACTATATAATGAAACTGTTTCAATAAACCTGTCACGTCAACAAAAAAAAGTTTATAACCATGGAACAAAAAATACAAAATATCATAATACTAGAATAAAATTGCAAGTTGGGTGGCTAATGCTTTCGAAAATTAGTTTGAGGTACTCACTTGAACAAAGTTTAAATTTGGTTACTTTTTAATGAAAATAGTTTTGCTTTTTTATATTATTATTATTATTTGGGTAGTGGCTAATGATTTGAATTTATTTTTTCATTATTGAAGCAACTTTGTGTACTCCGTGGCATTCAAGCAGTGAAAAAACATTGATGTGAACAAATTTCATAAAACTTATGATACATTTGGATGAAAGTTAGCACCTATATTAGTCCAAATTGCATCCCACATCAGGTAATGCCAATTGTACCCCTATTGACCTGCAATTTGATCGGACCGGTTTTACGAATGCGGGACTGATTCAGGTATTAACCGGGTAGGATCAAAAACCATGACTAATTTGCTTTATATGGTAGTCACTTTCCAACATATGTGATTGCCAGTTTTTCTCTACAGTTTCACTCTCTGTTTTTCAACAATGATTTCATGATCAGGACTGAATTGTTATACATTAAAAAAAAACAATGATTTTGACTATTTTAACACTTAAGAATTTCAAAAGTTTTCATTTTCATTATACTACCTTTTATCAACCACTTATTTATCTATATTGTAATATAAACTTATTATTTTATATTTATAAATTAGATCGGCCTTTTGTTTTATTAACTTTTACTTTCTGTTGAACAGGAAAGGGCTTGCATAGGATACCATTGTTAGATAAAAAAAACAGACAATATTAGATGAAAAGGGATTTATAAAATATTTTAAGATAGATAAGGCTAATTGTCTAATTGTTGTGTTTTTGTTGCAGGTCGGAGACAATTGGTGTCGCTAAACTAATCAACTTCCCAAGTAACAAGTGAAGGATGGAAGCATCCAAAGGTGAATCTAATTCCATCTAGTTATATATAGTTTGTTATATATTTCTATTAAATTAAGTTAATATAACAATTTTAAATACAAGTGGTTTCATATTATGTTATTTTTTTAATGGTTTACACCACAAAAAGGGAAAACACCAACAATAGTATGAAAAAAATCATATACAAAAAAGGGTTAATGACTAACATATTTTGTTCCGTGTTCATATTTAGGCAGGGGCGGCCCATGGGCCTCGGCAAGCTGGGCGACCGCCCCGGGCCCCCAAATGCCATAGGGCCCCCATTTTATATCTCTTATATTAATTGTATAGTATTAGCCCATTAGGTTTAAGCTTATTGGACTGATTATTATTGAAGCCCAATACAACAATACTCTGTCTCTTAGTCTCTTATCAGCGTGCGTCGTCAACCAAAAAGAAAGCGGGAGGAAGAGGAATCAGGAACGACTGGGCGTGCGAGAGTGCCGACTTCCAAGGCGCAATTAAATCTTCAACGATCGGCTATGGAAAATCAAAATGTTTTCTCCAGATTCTAAGGTAAGCAATGGTCTCAATAATCAGATTCTTCTATTTCTTCTTCAGTTTCAATTTTTGAATCGATCTCTTATTTCTTCCCCAATTCTCCCTTTTCTAATTTCCGATTTAGCGATTTAGTACATCTGATTGCTTCTCCTTCTACCGATTTCTTCCCCAATTCTCCCTTTTCTACCGATTATTGCCTTCTATTTTCGATTTTCAAGTTTAATTTTTTTTTCTGCTATAGAACTAGACCATTAAGAATCTGTGAAGACCACTTAGTCGTCACAGTCTCACAGACGAAGACAAGATCACTCGAAGAAGCATTAATCCCACTTAGTCGCTGTCTCGTTGTCTTCTCGGTTGTGAATCTTCTCTTTTTTTTATCTGTAAGTTCTAATTTCTAGCATTCATATTTCTTATTTTTCTGTGATTTTCTATTTTTTTATGAATCTGATATTCAT